CCTCCCCCCCCCGCCCCCCAGGCAAGGCCTAGACCAGGCCGTTAGTCCGCCTCACTCTCCCCCAGCCTCCGAACTTTTCCCGCTCAAAGCAAGAGGGCTTGGGATTGGTCCAGGCTGGTGCGCAACAGCCCACTGATTGGCTGACAGGTCACCCGAGGGAGGTGGTGGGAGGAGGGGAAGGAGCATGGTCCTACCCAGTCGGAAAATGAGGGAGGGGCCGAAGAGTTGAGAATCTGCTCAGCAACCGACGTTCACCCGCTCTCCACGTACCCAGTGCCAACGTCTCATTTTGACCCCTTGGCCCCTTGACTTCTCCCTGAACTCCCAGAATTCTTCGCCCAGAGAATAATAGACCATGTACCTGTTTATGGAGGGTGAGGAGTCGTTTGTGGGATCGGGTGTTGTGGGGACGTTTCTAGGCTCCAGCCTTCAGTGAGAGTGAAAGCATTTGGCGTTAATGTAACTCTTGAATAAGTTCACTCTGAACTTAACCTACAGAAGCCATAGCTGGCATTCACTGCCGGAGTCGAAGCCGACGCACAGCCATCCCACAGGCCCGTAGAACAGCCCCTGTGAACTTCCGACACCAACTATTCGCGGAGCTACTGGTGGTTTCGAACTGCCAACCTTGCGTGTTGCAGCCCAACAGTAACCACTGTGCCACCAGGGCTCCTTCCATGGCGCTAGACAAGCCATTTATGTCAGCAGTCCAATTTGGGGCTGCGATTTGCAAGAAAGGCAAATTTTGATTCCAGACGATACTAAAACAGAACAAGACGAGTGCATATTTAAATATTGAAGAGAAAAGCACATTTAGGGTGTTTATAAATTTTTAAAAGGTTATGTAGAAAATTAAAAACTGAGAATCCGTAAATAATAGATAAGAGCCGTTAAGTGGAAGATGTACCTTTAACCGGGCAAAATTGGATGCAGGGTTGGGGGACGAGTTGTATGGACTTGTGCGGCTCTGATGGCGGTTTCAGAGTTCTCCTGAGCTATGGTTTAAGAAAACAAAACTAACCAAGTGGTTGTACCAATTCCAGCTCACCTGGAAAAGCCGCGGATGTGGCACTCCTCCACATTGCACTGAGAACCAACGGTCTGGTATTGGTAGGGTTTGTTGTGGGCGTTAGAGGAAAGAACTTAATTGAGCGCGGTGACTGTGTTAAGTGGCAAGGAAACGATTTCATTTATGCAGTAAGCAAGTGGTTCTTCGATTGAGCGTTGCGTTTCTTTTTGGAAAGGGCTCCTGTGGAACGTGTGCGTGTGACCGCGGCGCACTGGGCAACTGGGGGGGTTTGGGCTTGTTGAGAGTGACGGGCGCGTGGTTTTACAGTCTTACACAAAGATATTTGGGAGCCCTAAGGGGGAGCAAGGGCAGCTGAGAGAGTACACACAAAACAAAAACTGCCCAGTCAGTTCCGACTCTCAGAGGCCTGCAGGACGGAGTGGAACCGTTACTTAGGATTTGCAAGGCTGTCTGCTGCTTAGCCGTTGCGCCTTTTAACTTGGACCTGAGTGCTTTAATGACTATCACTCGGGCTACTGCCCTAAAATTTATGGCCAGAAAACCCCTGTCAGACGGTTCTCATTTGCCACAAGTTAATATGATTCAAAGTCGACTCCTTAGGACCTCCCCAAAACAACACGAAGATATTTACCTAACTTTTTTTTCTCTTAAAAAAAAAATCATTTTATTAGGCCTCGCACAACTCTTATCACAATCCATACATACATCCATTGTGTCAAGCACATTTGTACATTTGTTGCCATCATCATTCTCAAAACATTTGCTTTCTGCTTGA